ACTCTCAACAGACTGCTTTAGATATGGTTCGACAACTTCGACCTTTGAGTATTCATTTGGGTCTCCCATGCGGGACCTGTTCTCGTGCAAGGGAACGTGAACTGCCAGAGCACTTAAGGAGCCAGCATAGCGCACCTCCACCGCTTCGATCGGCCGAGCACTTGATGGGCATGCCAGGACTTGTTGGCACAAACCTGGCCAAAGTTCAAGCAGCAAACACGTTGTATTATTTCGGAGTGCAACTATTGTTTCTTTGCTTCGAACTTGATATTTTGGTGTCGGTTGAAAATCCCGCCAGAAGCTGGCTGTGGGGAATTCTGACTAAGTTGGTTGCAGCGATCAACAATGCAGAGTTTACCAAATGGTATGCAGCCCTGACTTCTACAGACTTCCATGCGTGTATGCATGGTGGTGAGCGCAACAAAAGGACGCGACTGTTGGCGTCACAAGGGCTTTACGATGAACTGGCGGCAGAATGCGACAACAGTCATCAGCACAAACCTTGGTTTGTGGTCCAAAGAGGATCTGGTTTGGAATTTGCAACAGCTTTGGAGGCAGAATACCCACGAGTCCTGAGCACTCGTATGGCAGCATGCTTGAAAAGACAGGCAGAACAGCGGCACTTGCGCTTGGGTCCCCATCTTTCTTCAGCTCAAACGGCAAGACATGCATGGGGGGTCCAAACCTCCAAAGCCAAACCCCTAATTCCAGAGTTCAAAGGTTTTCACCATTCTGCTGTAGAAGATCCCCAACAGGGATACAAACTTTTGGCAACTCCACCTACGGGGGCACAACCTACAGAGTTGCTTTCCGAGAACGAGGGACAGCTGGAGTCCGAACACAAGAGGGTCAGGAAAACTTTCAAATACGGTATCCAGTGGAAACCCGAAGAGTTCTTTGAGGAGGCAAAAGCAGTTCTACATCCAAAAGATCCACAAAAAGCTTTACCGCTTGTTTTGAAAGAGGCTGTGATACATGTCATGAGTTCCAGTCCAGTCGAAGTGGCTAAGCATCGACTGAGTGTGGTTTTGGCTCTTCATAGGAAAGCTTCAGAACTAGCGGCAGAAGAACAACAGTTGAAAGCGTCCATGGATCAGCAGACTGCTCATGTTTTGTCCAACAAGCGGTTGTGTTTGTGGAAGCACTTGTTGGAAACTACAGGTTTTGCAGACATGCAGGTGGTTGACCTGGTCACCAATGGGATTCCACTTTATGGCAGCCATACCAAGCCGCCGAATTTCCCAGACGACTGGAGGCCCTCACTGATTTCGGTACATGAGTTACTGGAATCTTCAGTCTGGCGGAGAAAGGCTTTGATGGGTGCTGAACACTCTAAGATGGAAGACTGCGTGCAGGACGACCTTCATGAAGCAACCATGAAGGAGGTTGAACTGGGGCATTTGCATGGGCCTCTTTCGGAGGAGGAAGTCACGGCTCACTTTGGGTCGGACAAGTGGCTTTTCAACCCTCGATTTGCCCTTTACCAAGGAGCTGAAAGCAAGATACGCGCAATCGATGATGGCAAAAGATCCTCCCTGAACTTTGCTTACACTACCAACTTCAAGCTTGAGCTGTACGATGTGGACACGCTCGCAGCATTGGTTGCATCAGTGGCCGACAGTTTGCAACTTGGAAAGGTGAGCTTCGACATGGAAGATGATACAACGTGCACGGTGCCAGTGCACCCAGATGTTGCTAGCGACACATGGTCCGGGAGGACACTGGACTGGTCCCGAGCTTACAAGCAGCTAGCGGTGGATAAGGCCTCGAGGCTTTTGAGTGTTGTGGGCTACTATCATCGCAACCGCTGGGTTTTCTTCAGATGTGATGTGCTTCCTTTTGGTGCTGTGGCAGCAGTTTACAGCTTCAACCGTGTTTCTCGCTCACTGCACCACTTGATATGCAAATTGCTTTGGGGGCCCTGCACTTGCTTCTATGATGATTATCCAACTATCAGTCCCAACGCATCAGCGGCAATCCTTTCAAAGGCAATGAGTGCCATGCTCACGCTACTTGGATGGGACCATGCCAAGGTGGGTGTTAAAGCAGCAGATTTTTCTTCGGCCTTCAACCTTGCAAAACCTCTGCGGGCAGCAGCAAAATTCTCCGATGGCTGACCCCACTTTTGGGTCCAAATCTGGATCCCAAAACGGGGCCCAAGCAAAGACCTAAAAGAAGGAATGAAAATTTGATCCAATTCTGGACCCCATTTTGGGGTCCATATTTGGACCCAAAAAAGGGGTCAGCCATCGGAAAATTTTCGCTGCTGCCCGCACATGTTGTGCAAGCAGATTTGCGAAGCTTGAACATGAATGTCAACTCATACCTTTTTCTCTTTGTGCGTCCCAAGTCCGGTTGCTACTGTACCAATACTTTGGATGATACAACGATATCACCCTTCTTTCAGTTATTGACGTTGCGAACTGGCCAGCCGTTCACTTTGCCCTGTTTGTTTGATTTGTTTGTGTGTTGTTGTTGTTTTGCTGTTTTGCTTTTTTCCTTGTTTTGTTCCACCGGCATAGTGACGGCTATTTGGACTGTGTACTGGTCCTGTGTCAGTTCAACTTTGCAGCCCACCTTCTGCGAAGATGGATAACGTCACTGCTTTTATTAAATAATTAACCGATATGCAACATGCTATTTAGCGTGGAGAACGACCTGGCGGAAGCCAAGGCGTTGGACGGAAAAAATGTGTTGTGTCGTCGCGCAAAAAGGGGCTTGAAGCTGTCGGAGTCGAAGGTGTTGGCTCTTGGGATCATTCTTTGGGTTGAACGCCCTCGCACTACAGGAAAAACATTGCTCGTCTCATCGCATAAGATCAACTACCAGACCCTGAGAAGAGCTCCACATAGCTTGAGCCAATTTTGCATTAAAATGACTTCGGCAAAGAATGACCAAATAGAAGTTACTGAGGTTTTAAAGGCCATCCAGTGAAACATTATATGGAAAACGCTGGTGCCAATGTTCGGGTTTGGGTTTGCAAACTGAGGTTTGTTTGGAAGGCACCGCATCGCTGAACTTTGCAAGCATCATGGAATATTTTTTTTTGCATGCGGTTCGTAGTGCATGCGGCATGCGTTCGCAAAAAAAAGATCGTTCAAACAGGTGACGGCATTCTGAAAACCGGGAATCTCGTGACGTGCCAGTTTTGGCTTTTGAACAAGGATCGTGCCACAGTGATTTCAGCCGTACTCCGACAAAAAACAAAAAACCCATAGTGACATGAACCTTGTTCAACGAAGTTTCCTCAAACAGTGTGTCCACACTGAGGCGGTAAGAGTAAAGGCGGTGCTTGATCAGAGCTCTGTCTGGGCCCGGTCATTTGTTCTGTAAATTGCTGCATAGAATAACTTTTGGGCAATGTCCACGGGCATTTCGGCTGCGCAGGCTCGCTCAAAGTTTGCGTCGCACTTTTGCGCCCCAGTGGTTTTCTTGCCAATTTCCGCATAAAATGGCTCTTGTGAAATGTCCAAGTGCGTTCCGATTGCGCAATGTGACAAAGTCTGTGTCGCGCTTTTGGGCCCGGCATTTTTCCACATAAAATGATTCTTGTGAAATGTCCAAGTGCATTTCGATTGCTCAGGCTCGCACACAGTATGGGTCCCGGTCTTGGAGCCGGTCCTCCTCAACATCATCTTTCTCGACATCATCATCTTCTTCCCCCTTGACCTCATCATCTTCAACATCATCAACCTCACCCTCATCTTCCGCAACATCAACATTATCATTATCATCCTTTTCATCACCCTCCTCAACATTATCATCCTCAACACCGTCATCATCTTCCTTCGTTCTCAACATCATCATCATCCTCCCCCTTGACCTCATCATCCTCAACATCATCCATCTCCACCTCAACTTCCGCAACATCAACATTATCATCCTTTTCATCATCGTCATCAGCATTATCATCCTCAACGTCATCATCCTCAGCATCATCATCCTCAACATCATCATCCTCAACCTCATCATCTTCAACATCATTCCCCTGCACCTCATCATCCTCAATTTCATCATCCTCAACATCATCGTCCGCAACATTATCATCCTCACCATCATCAGCATCATCATCGACATTATCATAGATTATCCTCCCACCCCCCTGTTTGGGGTTTCTTGCCGGCATAATTTTTGAACAATTATTTTGCCTCCGTTGGTGTCAGTGGCTTAAAAAAACAAAACCCAAGAACACGGGGTCTCAGAAAAACATTTTTTGCAGGTACGGATGCAAAGCGCATGTGCAATGATACACCAACGTGGTCTGAAATCATTGCAGCCAATCACGGTTATGGTTTCCAAAAACGCATGTATAACAGTCAAACCCTTGGGCAGGGATTGCCAGCAACATTTTGATTCGGAACGTGTCATTGCATGTGTCTCAAATCCATTTGCGTTGAATTTTCAACGTGTTGAGCCATGGCATTTTTGACGCACTTTGTGAGGGCTTCGTGTTCGGAACATTTTTGGTTTGTTGAAAGTGCGAAAGGTTTTGGTGCCCGGGGTTCCAGGTGTTGTAAACAAATCAAGTGGCCCACAAATGGCTGCACACAAGCGTGCTAACAAAGGCGGACGTGACGCGTATGTACATTACGGTTGGACATGTGGATTTGTAGCATGTGCGTTCGCGTTCAATATGTTCTGACATATGTGAAATTGCGAAGTTGAACCTGTGATGCATAGGTTCTTGTGAAATCAATCCATGCACACGAGCAATCGCTTCTGACAAATTGCAAATGGTTCTACATATTGTTAAGAAGGTGTTTGAGTGTGTATGAGCTTTGGTGGAACCCCCCTGTCCGACCGTTTAGGTTTTGAACTTGGTGATTTGCAACATACTCAAGATAGCACTAGCAATATTAGCAAGTCTTGTCAAGTTTCAAGACTGCCTGCATTGCTTGGAGGCAAGAACCGATTTTGTTTTTTGCTTGCAACAAACACACGACCATTGTGTTTGGTTTTTACATTTTTTTCCCAAAATTTCGAGTTGACACAAAATTCAGGTCATGGCTTTGCTTCGTCAAGCAGTTCGCTCTGTGGCTCAGGCGGGATGTTTTCAGACATCAGCATGGTGAGTTCTTTTTTCCATGCAGTCAACCTTTTGTCATCCCAGTTCATTTTTGGCAGGTCCCTGCCCTGCGTGCAGCAGCACCAGGCCATGTGTTGTTTCAATCACAACCGTTTTTGGTTCAACATCTTTGCATCTAATACCGATCAAAAGTACAATTGTTGTTTGCTGACAGTACAGAGATCTGATGCTATACTGGTTGGTCTGTTTATTGTACCCATTCGAGTTTGCGTGATTAAGGTGGCATGTTCCTGTGCATAGGTTACGCAAACATGCAATGCGTTATCACAGGTTGGACAACATACATTTTTAAATTCAAATTGATGAGATCTCATTCCAACATGTACGTTCAAAATGACTTTGCGTGGAAATCACACGACACATCATTGATCCGCAGTTGATCAAACAAAGATCTAAAACAACACGAATGACAATCTCTTGGATTATATACGCAGCAGGAACATGAGATCTAAACGAGGGCACGGCATGCATGAGGTTTATGTTAATTGTTGAGACCTAATGCAAAACGTTTGTAGGTCAATAAATTATCAATACCTAGTTGGTTTGCTGAAAACAATTCTTGTTTAGAGCACCGGTGTTGCTGATGGCTGTGATGTCCTCGAATTATTACCCTGGCCTGTTTCTGACCTGAAAAAAATTGACCTGTTTAAGTTGTTGTGATAATGTGTCCCTTGGATTTGTTGGTTGCATTGCTCCAGGATTTACCATGGTTCTGATGCATGTCCAACAGCATGACATTTTAGTCGAGTTCATGGTGTCCACTGACTGTTCGAAAAAAAAATGTAAACTTTCGGAACAATAAACTCAGAAAAACAATTATATTTACCCCATATTAGCCCCGTATTGACCCATATTCATTGGATTTCATTGGTATACATTTGGCAGGCACTGCTGTCCTGTGCCGTGCGTTGCCATCAGTGGATGTGAGTTTCTCAGCACCAGTCATATGTCATATGCACCATATGCATATGGTGCAAGTATGGAAAACTGTACCGAAATGCTCTTGCAGTTTTGCGGCGGATCCATACAATCGATTTGAGCTAATAATGCAGTAATTGTAGCGAGAAGTGCCAGGGGCAACAATGACATTGAAGAGCATACGTTATGAACACAGAATTGAACTGACACCAAACTCGATCGGCATTCGAAAATAAGACCAAGCAGGATGTTCAAAGAATCAGAAATCGATTGTATAATGTGATTGGACATCAATGGTCTATCGTAGTGGTTGCCCGTGAAGTTGCTGAATTTCCAGGCATCTTTGAGCCAACCAGCCCCATTGGCTTCAGTGGGTCTTGGCGCAAGCCTGAGCTGCTTGTTTTTTAAATTTCTGGGAGTCAGGGGAGTCAGGGGAGTCAGGGAGGTGTCCAAGTTGCACAAGTGACGATGGATTGGACATGATTGGACCATATTGGGACCATATTGGACCAATTCCACTCGCAGGCGCACCACTCTCCAAGCGTAACGCTGGTGTCTCCGTGTTGGGCTGTGCCATCGCAATGGTGGCTGTCGGTGGTTGTGCCCAGGCAGGCTACGGGTGAGATAAGGTAATTATGTCTTTTCAGTTTTTTGCAGTTGAAGTGACAAATTATGAGGATGATGCTGTTCTGATCCGTACATGCGCAAGCACATGCATCACAGGCAGTACGTGTATAATATGTCAATATGTCTGTTTTATGTATCTGTCAATGTAATATGTCTATGGATATGACTATGACCATGGCTATGTATAATTGTGTATGTGTATGTGTACGTGTACGTGTATGTGTATGTGTATGCGTATGCGTATGCGTATGCGTATGGGTATGGGTATGCGTATGCGTATGCGTATGTGTATGTGTACATGCATGTGTATGTGTATATGTACGTATATGTGTATATAATTGTATATATGTTTATGTCTATGGATATGGATTCAGATACCTTCACATACACATAGACATTGTCATATGTATAGAGCTGCGTGTATACCAGTTTATACTTTCATATTCCTGTTGAATTGTTCGAGCCTTGTCCTGGTCAGCTCTCAGGGCATCGGCCAGCTCTTCGCAGCATTGGTTGTTGGCATGGCACGCAATCCATCCATGAAGGAAGATCTTTTCACGTGCCCGAGCGGGTCAGCTTTGTGCAATTGCTACTTTGATAACCTGTGGATATCCTCTACTTATCTGCCTTCAACTCAATCTGGAATCTCATAAGCTTCTCCCTCCAAAATACACTTTGACATCCAGCATGGGGCACGGAGCTTTGCGCCCCAGGATGATGATACATCTGTTGTATTTTGTTGTAAAATGAAGGTTCCCCCGAAGTGAATACTGGATCTTCAGGCTTCGTCTCCAGTTGGGGAAAGGATGGTGCTGGTGAGGATGGTCAGGGAAAGCTGAAGGCCTACCACCCAACTCTTGGCGCAAGGTACACGCTCATTGGGATGGGTTTCTTGGAGTTCTTGGCCATCGTTGTCATTCTAATTGCAGGCGTGTATTGGCCGATCGACACTTGAATTGGACTTGAGTTTGAAAGCTCAGGAAGAGTGCGGAGGTTCGAGCAACAAATTCAATTTCGCAATTGCAATGCCATTAGCTAGTGCTGTTGAATGGTCCTATCCTCTCCTTCAATTGCTTCAGGCTTGCTCCTGTATTCCGAATGAAGAGGCCACTCGAGGGAACTGGAGGGAACCACTTTTGGACTAGATAACTTAGATAACTTAGATAGCTTCATCCAAAAGCAAGCAAGATAAAGTGTTTGGATCATTGCTTATCATTGCTTGTAGCACAGTGGGTAGCCAGCATCCATACCTCGATGCTACACTAGGTGCTAGACTCGCCAGACGTGAGGGCATGCCATGCCCGCAGAGATGCAGAGATGCAGCGAAGTGCCAGATCACCACAGGCTTCAGTGCGGGTTCGTGAAGAGCTCACAGACGACACATGTGGGAAAAGAGACTCCTGGGGATGTGGAGTTGACCTGGTAAACTTGGTGAGTTTGCGTTGAACAAAAGAATCGCAAAGCTGAACGAATTAAGCAGTTGAATTCATTTGACATCAATTTGCTGTAATTGACATTAATTTACTATCTTATTTCCCAGTTGATGGTGAACCCTGTGCTGGAGTGCTGGGCCTCATATGAATTTTGTAGAAGAGCTGTCCGCAAGATCGCTTGGCGGAAAAGTGTGTGGCTGTGTTTGTCAGGGAGAGATGGAGGAACCTCCAAGATTCTTCATAACGACGGGGGGAATCAAGTTCAATGATACACCAACGTGGTCCGAAATCATTGCAGCCAATCACGGTTATTGTTTCCATAAACGCAGGGTATACCAGTCAAACCCTTTGGCAGGGATTGCCAGCAACATTTTGATTCGGAACGTGTCATTGCATGTGTCTCAAATCCATTTGCGTTGAATTTTCAACGTGTTGAGTTCATGGCATTTTTGACGCACTTTGTGAGGGCTTCGTGTTCGGAACATTTTTGGTTTGTTGAAAGTTCGAAAGGTTTTGGTGCCCGGGGTTCCAGGTGTTGTAAACAAATCAGGTGGCCCACAAATGGCTGCACACAAGCGTGCTAACAAAGGCGGACGTGACGTGTATGTACGTTACGGTTGGACATGTGGATTTGTAGCATGTGCGTTCGCGTTCAATATGTTCTGACATATGTGAAATTGCCGAGTTGAACCTGTGATGCATAGGTTCTTGTGAAATCAATCCATGCACACGAGCAATCGCTTCTGACAAATTGCAAATGGTTTTACATGTTGTTAAGAAGGTGTTTGAGTGTGTATGAGCTTTGGTGGAACCTTGGTGATTCGCAACATGCTCAAGATAGCACTAGCAATATTAGCAAGTCTTGTCAAGTTTCAAGACTGCCTGCATTGCTTGGAGGCAAGAACCGATTTTGTTTTTTTTTTGCTTGCAACAAACACAAGACAATTGTGATTGTTTTTTACATTTTTTTCCAAAATTTCCAGTTGACACAAAATTCAGGTCATGGCTTTGCTTCGTCAAGCAGTTCGCTCTGTGGCTCAGGCGGGATGTTTTCAGACATCAGCATGGTGAGTTTTTTTTTCCATGCAGTCAACCTTTTGTCATTCCAGTTCATTTTTGGCAGGTCCCTGCCCTGCGTGCAGCAGCACCAGGCCATGTGTTGTTTCAATCACAACCGTTTTTTTGGGTTCAACATCTTTGCATCTAATACCGATCAAAAGTGCAATTGTTGTTTGCTGACAGTACAGAGATCTGATGCTATACTGGTTGGTCTGTTTGCTGTACCCACTCGAGTTTGCGTGATTAAGGTGGCTTGTTCCGTGCTCCTGTGTAATTATAGGCTATGCGTGCATGCAATGCATTATCACAGGTTGGACAACATACATTTTTTAAATTCAAACTGATGAGATATCATTGTAACATGCTCGTTCAAAATGACTTCGCGTGGAAATCACACGACACATCATTGATCCGCAGTTGATCAAACAAAAATCTAAAACAACACGAATGACAATCTCTTGGATTTACATACGCAGCAGGAACATGAGATCTAAACGAGGGCACGGCATGCACGAGTTTTATGTTGCGGAAAACATGTTGAGAATTGTTGAGACCTAATGCAAAAACAAATGCAACGTTTGTAGGTCAATACCTAGTTGGTTTGCTGAGCACCGGTGTTGCTGATGGCTGTGATGTCCTCGAATTATTACCCTGGCCTGTTTCTGACCTGAAAAAAATTGACCTGTTTAAGTTGTTGTGATAATGTGTCCCCTGGATTTGTTGGTTGCATTGCTCCAGGATTTACCATGGTTCTGACGCATGTCCAACAGCATGACATTTTAGTCGAGTTCATGGTGTCCACTGACTGTTCGAAAAAAAATGTAAACTTTCGGAACAATAAACTCAGAAAAACAATTATATTTACCCCATATTAACCCTGTATTGACCCATATTCATTGGATTTCATTGGTATACATTTGGCAGGCACTGCTGTCCTGTGCCGTGCGTTGCCATCAGTGGATGTGAGTTTCTCAGCACCAGTCATATGTCATATGCACCATATGCATATGGTGCAAGTATGGAAAACTGTACGGAAATGCTCTTGCAGTTTTGCGGCGGATCCATACAATCGATTTGAGCTAATAATGCAGTAATTGTAGCGAGAAGTGCCAGGGGCAACAATGACATTGAAGAGCATACGTTATGAACACAGAATTGAACTGACACCAAACTCGATCGGCATTCGAAAATAAGACCAAGCAGGATGTTCAAAGAATCAGAAATCGATTGTATAATGTGATTGGACATCAATGGTCTATCGTAGTGGTTGCCCGTGAAGTTGCTGAATTTCCAGGCATCTTTGAGCCAACCAGCCCCATTGGCTTCAGTGGGTCTTGGCGCAAGCCTGAGCTGCTTGTTTTTTAAATTTCTGGGAGTCAGGGGAGTCAGGGGAGTCAGGGGAGTCAGGGAGGTGTCCAAGTTGCACAAGTGACGATGGATTGGACATGATTGGACCATATTGGGACCATATTGGACCAATTCCACTCGCAGGCGCACCACTCTCCAAGCGTAACGCTGGTGTCTCCGTGTTGGGCTGTGCCATCGCAATGGTGGCTGTCGGTGGTTGTGCCCAGGCAGGCTACGGGTGAGATAAGGTAATTATGTCTTTTCAGTTTTTTGCAGTTGAAGTGACAAATTATGAGGATGATGCTGTTCTGATCCGTACATGCGCAAGCACATGCATCACAGGCAGTACGTGTATAATATGTCAATATGTCTGTTTTATGTATCTGTCAATGTAATATGTCTATGGATATGACTATGACCATGGCTATGTATAATTGTGTATGTGTATGTGTACGTGTACGTGTATGTGTATGTGTATGCGTATATGTACGTATATGTGTATATAATTGTATATATGTTTATGTCTATGGATATGGATACATTCACATACACATAGACATTGTCATATGTATAGAGTTGCGTGTATACCAGTTTATACTTTCATATTCCTGTTGAATTGTTCGAGCCTTGTCCTGGTCAGCTCTCAGGGCATCGGCCAGCTCTTCGCAGCATTGGTTGTTGGCATGGCACGCAATCCATCCATGAAGGAAGATCTTTTCACGTGCCCGAGCGGGTCAGCTTTGTGCAATTGCTACTTTGATAACCTGTGGATATCCTCTACTTATCTGCCTTCAACTCAATCTGGAATCTCATAAGCTTCTCCCTCCAAAATACACTTTGACATCCAGCGTGGGGCACGGAGCTTTGCGCCCCAGGATGATGATACATCTGTTGTATTTTGTTGTAAAATGAAGGTTCCCCCGAAGTGAATACTGGATCTTCAGGCTTCGTCTCCAGTTGGGGAAAGGATGGTGCTGGTGAGGATGGTCAGGGAAAGCTGAAGGCCTACCACCCAACTCTTGGCGCAAGGTACACGCTCATTGGGATGGGTTTCTTGGAGTTCTTGGCCATCGTTGTCATTCTAATTGCAGGCGTGTATTGGCCGATCGACACTTGAATTGGACTTGAGTTTGAAAGCTCAGAAAGAGTGCGGAGGTTCGAGCAACAAATTCAATTTCGCAATCGCAATGCCATTAGCTAGTGCTGTTGAATGGTCCTATCTTCTCCTTCAATTGCTTCAGGCTTGCTCCTGTATTCCGAATGAAGAGGCCACTCGAGGGAACTGGAGGGAACCACTTTTGGACTAGATAACTTAGATAACTTAGATAGCTTCATCCAAAAGCAAGCAAGATAAAGTGTTTGGATCATTGCTTATCATTGCTTGTAGCACAGTGGGTAGCCAGCATCCATACCTCGATGCTACACTAGGTGCTAGACTCGCCAGACGTGAGGGCATGCCATGCCCGCAGAGATGCAGCGAAGTGCCAGATCACCACAGGCTTCAGTGCGGGTTCGTGAAGAGCACACAGACGACACATGTGGGAAAAGAGACTCCTGGGGATGTGGAGTTGACCTGGTAAACCTGGTGAGTTTGCGTTGAACAAAAGAATCGCAAAGCTGAACGAATTAAGCAGTTGAATTCATTTGACATCAATTTGCTGTAATTGACATTAATTTACTATCTTATTTCCCAGTTGATGGTGAACCCTGCGCTGGAGTGCTGGGCCTCATATGAATTTTGTAGAAGAGCTGTCCGCAAGATCGCTTGGCGGAAAAGTGTGTGGCTGTGTTTGTCAGGGAGAGATGGAGGAACCTCCAAGATTTCCACCAACTCCCCAGCAGGTTGTATATATGGTCTTGTGTTCCGTGTTCCTACCCCCCCACCCCCCCAAAGGTACAAAGGTATGGGTCCCCAGGTTGCACCCCCTTCCCTTCTATTTGCAAGCTATTGGCAGCATTTCTGAGGTCCACCTTCGTATTTGCTAGGTCTTTACTGCATTTCTGACTACCAGCCTCGCATTTACTACGTACATGCTACCTTTTAGACGACCTACGTAGCACAAATACTCCCTCAAAGCACCTACGTGCTACCCATAGTCATATATACATGTGCTATGTATCTACTTCCTATATATATATATATAAATACATATATACATATATATACATACACATATTATATATATACACATTGTATGCATATATATATACATTTGTGTATACATATATATATATATGCATACATATAAATATTTACATATATATATATATACATACATACAAATATGTAAATATATGTAGACACACACGCATGTATTCCCGTCCCGGTTGTAAAGACTTGAGCATGACCTTTCTGATGTAGCATTTTGGCTTTTAGCTACACGTTTTTTCATGCCCCCCCCTGTCTGCACCACCTGTGGAAAGTGGGTGGAGCAAGGGGGTGGGGTGTGCGCTATTTGCCGCACCCTCGATCGGCTTGCAGCCTTGATCCGGGGGTCTTCTATACCCCTGAGTGCCGAGGGGGTGCTGCTGCGGGCGCTCCGGGGGTGGCTGGCCGAGGTACAAGACATTGGGGAGATCTGCAGGGGGGTCGTGCCAAACCCCTCGGGACCCCAACTGACCCCTGGTGGTGAAATCCGGGGGGTTATAGGGCCACCACTGCCGCCACCTCCAAATACTGAGGGCTTACCCGCAGCTCCAAGTGTTGTGACAGCTGCGACCTCCAAAGCCCCTCCGCCTGTCAAAACCGAGACCGAAGAAGCAGCGTTGCCGCCTGCTGTACCTGCTGAAGAAGCACTGCCACCTGCAAAGCCAGAGCCTGTGGATAAGAGAGCAAAGTCTGAGCATTCACAGGACGAGAGGCCGCCTTTACCTCGCAGGACTCACCGTCCTCGTAGTCGCAGTCGGAGCCCAAGGAGTCGACATCGCAAGCGGAGTCGTCCAACTCGGAGCCGCAGTCGAAGGCGAAGACCCATTAAGAGGGAGCCTAGCCCAGCTCCTAGGACACCTGCTGAAGGACCGGGTGTTGAGACGGCCGAGTACTACGAAGAGGGGGAGGAAGAAGAGCATTTCACCCCTGATCTGGAGCGGCCTCGGAGCCCTTCACGGCCACCTCCTCCTCGAAGGGAGGTCCCAGACAGGCGGAGCCCCAGGCCTGGAGGGTCAAGGTGGCAGGGGCCTATCAGGGCTTACAGGAGAGAGCCACCTCCTGGACAGGGAAAACACTTTGGGAAAAACAAAGGAGTGACAAAACGGAAACGAAACAAAGCCTTCCGAGACCGACAGGGCCGGAGGCGACCCCGCCACCGCTAGATGGCGCCGAAGCTGAGGCGCCCGGCGGCCTCCCCTGGGCGGGCACGGGGGAAGGCAAAGGCAAAGGCGGGTCCCGTCAGGCCGCGGCGGCCTGGTCCGGCAGCAGCGAAAGTCATCTTCAGTCATGCAGTGACCTTGGAACAGTGCAAAGGTTTTACAGACCTGGAGCTTATGGAGGCTACATACTGGGCCGAGCCGGTCAGGGCGACTTTCAAGATGGAGAGTATGCAGCTGGACAAGGGGGAGCTGTACTTGAAGGGGCGTCTCTTGGGTACGCAGTCCGAGCGGCTCCTAAAGGTGGCGACGGGATTGCCGGACCACCGGGTGGATGTCCACCTGTGCGACTACACCTGCGGGGGAGTTCCGCACCGCGACGACCTGATCCACGTCACCAAGTTCAAGCAGTTAGGGGACGACCGGGAGCCGTGGATGAGCAACCTGGGTCCCGTAGAAGCCCCACCCGACACCGGGGAGGACGAACTTCAGGTGCTGAGGGCAGATCAGCGACGCCGAGGAGGAGAAGCTCCTGGAGAGGGAGTGGCTCACGGACGCGACAGACGAAGCCGGTCACGAAGGAGGCGGAGTCGGAGTCGGAAGCGGCGGAAAACAGGCTTGAAGGTCGAGAGCCAAAAGGAGGTAGTGGCCCTCTTCCAAAACACCGGCCTGGACCCCGACCCAAAAGTCCGACGACGGTTCAGGCGGCGCGCAGGCAAGATAGCCCGGAAGAAGAGGATGGGCTCCAGCTCCTCATCGGGGAGCAGCAGCGACAGCAGTCCCGCCGAAGAGACGCTTCCGGCCGACGATATGCACCTGTTCGGGGGCAGTGGAAGGGTGCAACTCATCGGACGCCGTCTGCCAGGGTCGTTGGCCGCGGCGGCCTTGGACGAGGCGTCGGATGCGCTAGTGACCCACGAGGGGGGGTTATGGGACCTCCATTCGGGGGCACTCCCCCCCTTGTTTGTCCGGTATTTCCGTCAACAACTCAGCTCAAAGATGAGCCCCGCCATGTCACGAGAAGCTCAAACGATATCCCACCTCCTCGATCACCTGTTGCGGGGGAAGGTGGCGGACGCGCTCGATCTGGGCGCCCAACGCCTCAAGGCGTTAGAAGCACAGGCCAGCGGCGTACATTTTACAGTAGCTCAACAACAAGAATTGATTCCCAAGGAGGCGGCTTCAATGAGTACAGTAGTGGAAATGCAGGACGCCGCCCGTCGGGCGCGGGAGGAAGGAAAGATGCGATTGGAGAGTTCGCGCCCCTACGGGGCCCGGAGCTCCTATCCTCCTCGGGCCGAGGACCATGGCAAGGGCAACCAACGGAAGGGCGGCAAAGGAAAAGGTGGCAAGACCGAGACCAAGAAGGGCGAGGGCAAAAAAGGCGACAACAAGGAGGCCAAGGGGAGTTAGCAGCAAGCTCCTCAGGTCAGGGCGACTCAAACCATGTTTCACCGTTTCAGGCACAACAAAAATTCCCCTGTTTGGCACCGGGGGAAAACGGCGGGAGTGGGCTACTCCTAGGTCAACCGCAGATCGAGTTGAAAAGGTTGGCTGCGGGAGAGGCTTGCTCTGGCCATACGGATTGTGGAGTGACTTTTGCAACTGGGCGGACTGAGCCTGGTAGCCACCTCACTGGGGTGGCACCGAATTGGGGTGACTTGAACCCTGAATGCATGTCTGCGCTTACGCCGACGAGCGTGGGCCGCGCCGATACAGGGCTGCCAGCTGTAGATGCGTTTCACCAGAAGCTGGGTGCACACGGTCAGCGGCTGCGAGATTTGGGGGTCCATATTAATGCACTTCTCAAACGATATCTTCGATCTACCACACGCAGCAAGACTTTGTCCACGGCGGTGAAGGATTTGTTTCCTTTACCCCTTGAGATTTGCAAAGAAGTGGACCCCCAGCGACAAGCCTGGCTAGAAGCGATGGTGATTGGGCTTAATGAGCTCAATGGCAGTGCAGCTGGAGACGCTATGGTGGTATCCGAGGCGCAAAAGGAGGTTGGCCGTGTGTTGAGATCTTTTTTAGACAGGGTATGGACTTGGGATGAAGTGGTTCCTACAGAAGGGTTTGGTACTTATTTCGACGTTAAGGGGGTCGATTATCGGGGTGAAGAGATACGACTGGCCCGGTCCTTCACCTGGGAGTGTATTGCTCCTTCTCTCCCTCAAGAAGTGGGTACCTTACAGTTAGAAGATTTCTGTTCGGGGGGATGCTTAGACTACATCAGATCCTTTGAGAACTATCTTGTCCCTCCGGAACTCCAGGTATTAGGTCGTACCCCTAGAATTATGGTGGAAGAGCACGCCTGGGATCGGGTGTGTCAAGGGCTAATTGAGTCGGGTATTTGTGGTGTACTTCCAGTAGAAGACCTTTATACAGTTTCAGGGCGACCGTTACTAAATGGTCTTTTCGCTGTCGGAAAGAATGAATTTGTCAACTGCCGTGAGGTTTGTAGACTTATTATGAATTTGGTTCCGTTAAACCGCTTATGCCGCCCGATACAAGGAGACACTGGCACTATGCCGACCATTGCCAACTTCAGCAGCTTCTACCTGGAGGAAGGCGAGGTAGCAATGTTGGGGTCGGAGGACATAAAGTGTTTCTATTATTTGTTCCAAGTTCCCCCCGGTTGGCGAAAGTATTTGGGCTTTGCTAGGGAGGTGGCTCAGCATTTGCTGCCTCCTGAATTGAAAGGCAGGGTTTGCCATTTAGTGTCACTGGTTTTACCCATGGGTTTCATTAACTCGGTGGGATTGGCCCAGCACATCCACCGAAATGTATGCCAATGGAGTGCTCCTGATGAACCTGAAGGGTGGGGAGCGCAACGGGAAATGAGGCGAGACCGTCCTGCCACGGTGTCCAAAGAGATCTTCAGGATTTACTTGGACAATTGGGACGAGCTCCGTAAGGTAGACCGGGACCTGGCATCCGATGTGGAAGGCAAACCTTCCGCCCATCAGTTGGCTTTACGGGCCCAGTATGAAGAGCTGCAACTCCCTCGCCACCCAAAGAAATCAGTTGAAGGGGGGTTGCGAGCTGAGGTACAAGGGGCCATATTTGATGGTCAAGAAGGGGTGGCTTATGCAAAGCCGTCTAAGGTCTTGAAATATGTGGGTCTCACCCTGGAGCTCCTGGACAGGGGTTCGGCCTCACAGCGGGAGCTTCAGGTAGTGGCTGGGGGGATGGTGTACATCACAATGTTCAGGAGAGCATTGTTGTGCTCCCTGAACGCCATCTGGAGGCAGATTGAGGACCTGAAACAAGAGCCTCCTGTAGTGCGACGTCCAATCCCCTTTAATGTCCAGGCCGAGATGATCCGCTTTGTAGCACTTGTGCCGCTAGGGCAGATGGATTTCAGGGCTACCATGCATCCTCAAGTCACAGCCAGTGACGCTTCAACTACAGGCGGAGGTTTCTGTGTTACCTCAGGTCTCACCGCTTATGGGGTGTCCGCCTTGGCAGCACCTGTGCGGGGGGATATACCTGAGGCCTTTGATTATATTCAGGTATTAACGATCGGTTTGTTTGACGGTATCGCAGCACTGCGGGTGGCCGCTGACCTCCTGCACCTGCCCATGGCAGGCCACGTGAGTGTGGAGTGTAACGAAGCTAGTTGAAAGTATGTTTCCGGGCTGTCTTCACTACAAGGACGTCTGCGCCATCACCGAGGAGGACGTGCGACAGTGGGCCTGTCGTTTCACTTCAGTGGGGGTAGTGCTGATCGGAGCGGGGCCTCCTTGCCAAGATGTCAGCAAGTTGAACGCGGACCGTAAGGGGGCCACACGGGGTCGCCGTAGCTCCTTGTTCCGGGAGGTTCCCAGGGTGGTCAGGATGGTTCGAACCGCCTTTCCGTGGGCACAGACCCATTAGAAGACCGTGGTACGGTGCCAGAGGGGGTGGACACCTACCCCTACCAGGTGGATGCCGCGGGGGTCAGTCTTGCCCATCGCCCGCGGCTGTATTGGTTATCGTGGGAGTTGGTTCCGGAGGAGGGTTTAGCCCTATCAGAGTGGGTGGGGGAGCATTGGAATGCTTACCGTGTGGCCCAGCTCACGGCTGAATTTGATTACAAGGACTACGTGGAACCTGGCTGGGCCATCACTGCTGACCAACGACTCCCCACCTTTACCACGGCTAGACCCTCTGAAACTCCTGGGCGCAAGCCAGCAGGATTGAGTCGATGTGACCTCCCCACGAAAACCAGATGGAGGGAGGATAAACATCGATATCCCCCTTATCAATACCGGGCGGAAAACTGCCTCAAGCACAGTGACGGGCGACTACGGCCGGCCACAATTGCCGAGCGTGAAACCATTCTTGGTTTCCCCCTGCACTATACAAAAAATTGCGTTGCCAAAAGCCATCAGGTGGGAGAGGCTTACTCTGATTTGAGGAGGACTCTCCTGGGCAATACCTGGTCAGTCCAAGTGGTTGTGTGCCTTCTGAAACAGCTGTTCCAGCCCTTGGGGTTGACACCAGTCTCCTCAATACAAGCCTTGATCGATAGCATGACTCCTGGCCGTGGGAGCCGGTTACAAACCCTCCTGCATCGTGCCCCATTGAGGCGAAACACAGACGCTCGGGTGCCTGAAGGCAACCTTGCCAAGCGACTGGGGGGTTTGGTATCGGTGAAAGGAGAAGACTTGCTCCTCCAAAGTCATACGGAGCCCCTGGTGAAATTCCACCGTCTTCGCAGCAGTGTGCCAAGTCGCTTGTGGACCTGGCGCGAAATCGCGGGATGGCAGTGGAAGGGGGACCCGGAACATATAAACCAGTTGGAGATGCGAGCAGTCCTGACCACATTGCGATGGTTAGTACTGCAACGTAAACGTTTCTCATGTCGTATCCTCCATTTAACTGACTCCCTTGTTGTTTTACATTCGCTGTCAAGGGGCAGGAGCTCAAGCCGAAAACTACGACGGACCATCATGCGGATCAATAGTTACTTGCTGGCGGCCAACCTTCACCCCCTGTGGGGGTACGTGCATACATCCCAAAACCCTGCCGACCGTCCGAGTCGGCGGCATCGGGTGAGAAAATGGGTAAAGTAAAGAAGCATCTGGAAGGCCGCACTAAGCAAGAACGTTGCAAAATCCGCAAAGATATGGGCTCCTTAAAGTCGCTGACAGTTCAACCAAAGACCCGAGCACGCTACGATCAAGCCCGCGATAAATTCTACTCCTTCCTCAAATTAAACTCTCTGCTGCTGCCCAGGCAACGCTCTGGGATGGATAACCTCTTAACGGAATATCTTGAACATCTATGGGCCACGGGGGAGGGCCGAGCGCTGGCGTCGGATACCCTGGCCAGCTTACAGGACATCGATCCTCGGCTGCGGGGTCAGATACCGGCCTCTTGGCGTCTCCTCAAAACGTGGCAGGTTCACGAAATTCCGTCCCGTGCACCCCCCTTTCCTGAGAAAATTCTGCAAGCGTTAGTAGGCTATTTCCTCTTCTACGAGGACCCTGCCATGGCCCTATCACTCCTGCTAGGATATTACGGTATGCTACGTACTGGGGAAGTACAGGCTATTCGTGCCCGTGATGTCCTGATCAGTGAAAGCCATACTAATGCTGTCGTGTCCCTTGGGTGGACAAAGACGGGAAAAAGAACTGGTGCCGCTGAAAGCGTTACCATCTCAGTAGTTGAAGTAATACGGCGTTTGAATCAATGGCAACACCATGTTCCCCCTAGTTCTCTCATGGTTCCATCTGCCTCACAGTGGCGGAAGAAATTTAAAGAAGGCCTGGAGGCCCTTGAAATTCAGTCTGTGGGGTTCCGACCTTATTCATTACGTCGTGGTGGGGCGACGTTCTGGTTTTCACGTCATGGATCCCTAGACCGCATTTTGTTACAAGGTCGTTGGCTTGCGGCTCGAACCGCTCGCACATATTTAAATGAGGGTCTAGCGGTACTGACCGACCTCAAAATCTCATCCCCGGCCATCACTGCGTTTCACAAAGTTTATGTAAATGCTGCTAGGCTGAAACTCCCAACTTGGCGGTCCCAAAATACTTGAGCATTCCGTCAGGAAGAGCAGGGGGACGTGGAGTATTCCCCCTGGGGGGGGAGTATGGTTTTTTATTTTGTCTTCTTTTGTTGAGAAACACGGAGAAGTGTTGAATGCCGGTACCTGAGCTCATGGCGCTCGGATTGGCGGGCAAAGTGAGAGGTATGTGGGGGGCACTATTCCCTCCTTGGTTTGGCGGGGAGGGATAGTGTCGGGCCCCGAATGTTAAATAACCCGGTGGTGTGGTTATTTCTCTCTCTTTTAATTTGATAAATTGTGTCTTGCTGCGCTCAGAAAAAGAATGAGAAAGTCTTTGTATTCCCGTCCCGGTTGTAAAGACTTGAGCATGACCTTTCTGATGTAGCATTTTGGCTTTTAGCTCCCTTCCCCCCCACCTCCTGTTTTGGGAGATGAGGTCCTTGTGGAGTATTCCCCTGGGGGGGGAGTATGGTTTTTTATTTTGTCTTCTTTTGTTGAGAAACACGGAGAAGTGTTGAATGCCGGTACCTGAGCTCATGGCGCTCGGATTGGCGGGCAAAGTGAGAGGTATGTGGGGGGCACTATTCCCTCCTTGGTTTGGCGGGGAGGGATAGTGTCGGGCCCCGAATGTTAAATAACCCGGTGGTGTGGTTATTTCTCTCTCTTTTAATTTGATAAATTGTGTCTTGCTGCGCTCAGAAAAAGAATGAGAAAGTCTTTATATATATATATATACATACATATATACATACACATATATATATACACACATTGTATGCATATATATATATACACATTTGTGTATATATATATATATGCATACATATAAATATGTACACACACATATATATATATACATACATACAAATATGTAAATATATGTAGACACACACGGATATATATATATACACATACATATATACATACATATATATATATGTAAGTATATTTAAATACACATAAATACATATATTCATATTCAAAT